AAGATAATCATTTATCTGCAATAGGTGATGTATTATTGGACGTCTTCACACCTTTGATTAGAAAAGTCCAGAGTCTAAGATAGAAGTTTTGATTTCGTGTAAATTCACTGGTACAAAACCAGGTATTTGCACCGTTGATATTGGTCACTTCGTATTCAAACGTAGCAAGCGTCACTCATGTCGTAGTTTTTGTACGTAATGCCCCTTAGCGAAGCGTGAAGTCAAGTGGCCAATCTCATACCAATCTCATACCCTTTCGTTTGTTAATATTCTGCAAGTTCCAAAGACAAAAACAGGAAGCACTTAGTAATCTCATTTGAATCGAATGGAGCTTGCATGGACGGGGAGTCCATTCTTAGAATCACACGGTGATTCTTCCACAGTTGATTTGCCGAGTGAGAACCGACGAAATAACTTTGGAAGAACCACCGTGCGATTCTAAAATGGACTCCCCGTCCATACAGACTCCATTCTATTCACATGAGATTACAGTTGTAAACCAACTGTGAAGTGCTGAAGCATAAGGATGATTGGGCGGAAGAGCACCGGGTCGCATATCTGATGAGCGGTAATAACCGTGAAACCGGTCGTATGCTTCCGGGGAAATTTTATCCTGTCATCTAGATACAATACCATGCTACTCATATCGGAAAGCTCTCTCCTCACAAAAGTATCGGCTACACAGGGCATCGTGATCATGAAGAACATCTACATGTAAATTGGCAACTAAGACCATCATATGAGAGAAGAAAACACGTTCATAGTGATCTTTAACATCACTCAGAATTCAGAGCACGTGATTCAACACTGACGTTTACCGAGAAACGCAGCAGCTGATATTTGACTTCGCAATTCATTTAATTTGTTCTCAATGTTCTCACCAACTCTTGTGTTAAATCAGAGTCGATCGCCCATTCGTCTCAGTTCTGTATCACCCACTGTATTATACGAATAATTACGGTAATCTTGTTTTACTTGCTGCCACCCGAAGGTACCCGTATGTGTCAATATGTCTGGACAATGAGGCTTGATGCCTCTGTTCGATATGCAAAAATAAAGTGAACCAGGATGATCATGTGATTATTTCTTAAGACAAACTGAACAACACTATAGATTATAAGAACATTTACCCATCCAAAGTGGAATTTTTTCATCACACATAAAGTGAATTACAATGTATGGGTTAAACCCCATAATCAGAAGACATACTGTAAAAGTGGGTTGAGGGGGAACATTCACGTTAGAGCCAGTTTATTGATCCTGCTTTTAAAGAGAGTAAGGTTGTAAGTGAGTGGGAAGACAGAAAGAGGAAAAGTGTTCCATAACTTCACAGTCCGGGGAAAAAAAGAGGATTGAAATAAAGACATGCGACATCCAGTGGCAGGATCTTTATAGGGATGACTAGTTTCATGAGTACTTGATGGTCGGGAAAACGTTTTTGGGAAGAGGAACTGCAGAAGCAAGCTCGGGAGAACAAAACCCAAAATAGTATCGGTAGAAGAGAGGCAACGAAGCAACAGCCCGATGATGGGCTAGTGACTGCAGATCGGAGTTAGAGAAGGGTCGTCCATCAGCCAAATGACCTTAAGTTGAACCCGATCAACAAGTGAAATAGAGGTAGAAGAAGCTCCGCCCCACATGTAACTGCAGTATTCAAGTGCGGGGTGGATTTGAGCTTTGTACAGCAGAAGAAGATAAGCACTAAGTGGCCAGATTCAGCTCTAGAACACCCCAACGAAAACACCACTCGGTCAACGAGACTGATTATGGGCAGGTTGGCACAAATATTCTCAGTGGAATCACAGTAGGGGGGTTACCAATATATCATATTGGAAGAAGGAATCAGGGTTGTAAACTGGATGGATAATATGAATCGGCTATATTACTAGCGTGACTTTGTGGTATTTGTATTTGTTAGATAGAAAATAACTCTCGATTGTAAACGTCAGGCTTATGTTATGGAACACTTCAAAAGTTTGAACGTTTTTCCAATCTCCACGAGCATTGACGCTCAAGGATCTGAATTCAAACGAATCCACTTGGTCGCTTCAATCAAAAGTGACTTTCCCTATATTTCTCACTTTTTCACTGGCGCAAAGTTATCAAATTGAAAAAAAACATGATACTCATTATGTAGCTTGCCCATATTGTTTAGGATGACCTAACAGGTAAGCTTGAGTTAATTCACTTAGTAGCCTTCAAAATGAGCTACTCGAAAAAGGTTCCACGTTGCACTGCTAAAATAAAGTATCCTAGGAACTTTATTTCTGTATCTTCTCTCTTCTTGCTGTATCTGAACCACACTAATTGAGACTGAAATGGACAAGGACAAAACCGGTAGCAGTGAGAATAAAAAGCAGTCTTTTTGAACTTATCAAGTTCCAAAATGCTTCTATCTAGAAGGGGGCGTTTCATAGATTGCATACTTCCTTGTTTGTGAGTGAACAAGTATAAATTTATTGATGTATTCACTTCGTATTTTGTTTCAATCATGATGATGCGGTTTTATTGATTCTAAACGGCCTACAGGTTGTAAATACGAAGTGAAAAGCACATGGTGACACAATTTGTTTTCATTATTACTGTGGTCATTTCTTTCCACTGCTTACGTAATCCACCCGTATTCACGAAAACAAAATGTTTGGTTTCCAAAAAATAGGAGCTCTACATTTGACCTGAAGATAAAGAATGGATTTGTGAGTCTCAGGCACTTGTTCACTTCATACGATCTGAAAGTAATCCAAGATTGCTCTCTTTGAACATCTTCTGTGAATGGTGGAGGACACAACCTCCAAAAAACACTCAGAAATATTTGTGGAACCTGAAATTTTTCCACCTGTTTTAGATTCCATCTGAGACGATGGTTGTCATCTGGTCAAACAGTTGTGTTTTCTCGAATGCAAACCATAGAGACCCTCGGAGAGGAAAAACCCTCGAAAGGTATCTGCTGTAAGTCATGAGGAACTAAGCGATTCCTCGTTGGAGTCATGTTTAACGACTTCTGAATTTTCGAACAATAGTTAAATTCTATTATAAAGGTTCGTTCATCTCCCAGAACTACACTCCTCATTTCGTAGGTAATATTCCTATACATTGAACGTTTGCTCCCATGATTCTAACTAATGACGTTGCGCCAAACTTGTAAGCATGAATGTTATCCACTATTGGTTTTTGGTCAAGGCGTTCTCATGAATCGGTATTCTAGAAATATACGAGGAAACTGAAGCATGATATGAAAAACAGTTCCAACTGAATCCCTAGCCACATCCAAACTATGTCGAATACTTTGTGTGAGGGGATGAACAGGTCTCTTTCCAACAAATGGCCTAGTTTGATTAGCAGATGGCACGGTGGTTTATCGATTAGCCAGCACGTCTGCAACTGTCCTGAATCGGGGAAAAGATTGAAGCAAACGAAGTGGACCTGAAACTAATCAAATGTCAACTGCTGTCTGAAACGAATTGGCCGTTTGTGTTCGTAACCAAACTGATCATTCAGAATAGCTTGTTGTGAATATCAATTGGATCTGTAAAATCGAGGGCCATGATTCGGCTACGATCACCGTGCATCAGAAAAAAACGGTATTTTTGTACTCATATATAAGGCTTGCTCGAAAGAGGAAATAGTATTCTCCCCAGAGTGAGCGGGGCAGAACAGAACATTTTGTTCATCCTGTAGTCGATGGCGGCATCTTTGTGGGTCTTTTTGAAGGAGCTTTAGTTTCCATCAGCCATCATTGCCGGTCCAGCAGGACTTTTAATATGACCGAAATAAGGCTTCAGAGTAGCGTCCACAGAACCACCAGATGCAGCTTGCAAGAATTCTTCATTCACTTCAATGCAATTTATTCTCACATTCCTCCAACAAATTCATGTGAACGTTAATGTTCGCCTAAATGAGGGAACACTTTGAAACATCAACGTACTAGTCGCTTTTGACACACATAATATGCCATTTTGTCTGATACCACCACTCGAGCATAACAAAATCAGTACTATCGCCGTCAACAGTTTCTACTTGTTTCAACGAGTTGGAAATTAGTGTTAAAACTTTGAAAGCTAGAATTCACTGCCACCATAGACTCCAAGCAGACAATAATCTGATTCAATTGCAAACCTGACTTCCTGAAATTTTCTTGCGATGAAAGAAACGCCGTCTCAAAACTCGCCTACGCGACACAACGGTAATTTGCATTCCGTGATATATTTGTCTGCCTTTCGTAGGATAGTGGGCATTCTCCCATTAGCCAGACACAATGACTCGACGGTTTCATTTCAATTACCCACTCGGTGAATAGAAGAGAACAGATATTGTTCGAAAGCATATGCTTCTCAGATGTTAACTGTAAGTCGAGTCATGATGTTTCGTCTTCATTATATCTGAGACCTAACTATTCTTCGATCATGTAACTGACCATTGACTTAGATACTACGTCAGTCGTATCGTCGCTTTTTAACTATTGTATGAGAAGTCTCATTATTCCAATTATAGAAACTCTTTTATCGTCTTATCTCTTCCAAGGATTTAGTTCGGTAACGTTTTAACTAATGGTTGACCACGTGATGACTCTCAACTCGAGCCCTTCATTCGGCACCCGTAGCGACAGGTTTTGTGAACAATGGTATCCACTGACCCAGACTTGAAAAAGATGCTGCAATCTCAACTCAGACTGATGAAGACTTTGACTGTCCGGCTTTCGAACATGGGCCCAACTCCAACCAAAACAGACCGTGATCGGGACATGGTTTTGAGGAGCATTACGGAGTTTATTCATGATTCGCAGCCTGGAGTTACCATGAACATCACCAACGAGGATAACAGAACAAAACGTCCGACTCTCGCTGAGGAAGTTGAGACCCGCAGAACACGCCCGCCACACTAACTACATATTATTTGATGACGCCATTCACATTCCCACGAAGAGTTTCCGAGAGAGTTCATCCCTGTTCGGCGCTCACCATCGATGCCGCAAATTGGCAAAGCCCGACGCGGACAATCTCATGACATACGTCGGCTTTGTGACCAGTTTGTGCCGCCGTTTCAAATTGAGATCATCAACTAAAGACCAGTTCTGGCGTTTAATTTTCATTTGCGGAGCAAAATCACCCACTCAATCGGACCTGGATACCAGATTGCTGACGAAGCTTGATCAGGAGCCCAGCACAACTCCACAACATTTGATTGGCAAGTGTGAACATTTGGTCAGTCTGAAAAATGACGCTGCTGTGATTCGACAGTCCGATCGTCCGCCTCAAGCAGTCAACAAATTTTTGACGCACAAACAAGTTCCATCAAAATGAAATCCGACAAACTTCAGCAAACCGAGCCCGAGCAAGCAGCCTTTGCCGTGCCGTCATTGTGGTGCCTGGCATTTCCATCGTTTCTGTCCATGCAAACACCATCATTGTACTCGCTATCATGCCTTCGGCAACAAAGATGGACAATGCCCATCAAGAAGCCAGACCTGGGAGATGTAGGTACGCATGTTCAAACCCAAAACCACTAGCAATCACTCATCCGTCCACTCGTATAGACTGACTGCAACCTTCCAAATAAACGCTGATGAACGATGAAAATGTGTGGTCTTCTACGTCAGCCAATATCCAGTCTATCTGCAGTTAGACATAGCATGGGACATTTCCATTATCTCAGAGAAGACTTGAAACGCTGTTGGACGTCTATACTCCCACACAACTTCATTGACTGCAACCAGTGCTTGTGGTGTGACCCTCAGTCTCTCCGGTCAACTTCACTTTTCCGTCACTTTAATGGGAAAACCAATCAACACGATATCCTGCATCACTCTAGCTGACGTGAACCATTTTGAATCTGACTGGCTTGGTCAGTTAAGTGTCTTCAATGTGCCCATCAGTGCATTCTGTCAGCGTTTCCAACCACACAGTCCAAAACTCCACCTGCGAGTCGGCTTATCAAACGCTTTCCCTCAGTTTTCGAGGAGAAACTCAGCTGCTAAACTCAAACTCAAGCAATACTACAACTGAAAAACGACAGCCGACCCGTATTCAGACCGATGCGCCCCATGACATTTGCTGTTCTACAGCTCGTCGATCAGAAGTTTACACGTCTTGAAAGCCTGAGGTTCCCAACTCCCTTGTCATTCTCCAAGTGAGCTGTATCCATTGTGAATGTGAGGAATCCCAACGGTACTGGCAAACCCTGTGCCGATTTTACCAGAGGACTTGGTGCTCTTCGTCAGACGGAATAAACTGTGTTCATTTGTTCTCCGTTATGCTGTCGATAGGGTGATTCATCGGAAATTTTCGGGTTAGACTCAGAGCATCCCAATAAGAGACAATTTCCCAAAACCATGCAGAAGCCCTCCCCAGAGCCTCAGTTCGTTATTATTTCTAATTATTTGCCATATACCAGTGGATAGGTCAACACAGTTTTCAGTGATCCTTTCATTCATTATGAAAACGTTTTGAACTTCAGACTACTTCCATCCCTAGAATCTTTAGACATTCACTGCCCTTTTGTCTACCGTATTCAGGATTTTCATTAAGCGCCGTCTAACAGCAGTTTTACACGATTGTGTCATATGATTCGTTTCTTCCGTTTGTAAACTGGGCAGACAATATGAAGGTGTTGTTCCTTATCACCCGCAGCTTTGGAGGAATGGATTTGCCACTTTCAAGTTTGAACTCACTATTCTTCTTGGAGAGATTTCAGAAACATTTATTGAGAGTTTCTTACAATAAACTGTGTTTTTGTATCACATCCGAGTCTTAGTCAATTGGATATAAACGGCAGACCCTCGTGGTATTACACACACCGATTTCTTATAATTAGACGAGTTTAGTATTCCAACAAAACAGCTTAAGATGGTTTAAAACTAATCTGATTGACAAGGATGCCGCGTTAATCAACTGGACCTAACCTGAAGGTACACATGAAATAGCTATCACCATAGGCGTCACCTGCTGTCGAAAGTAATTCAAAGCCTAGATCACCAATACAAAGCAGCGCACACTGTGATCGAGTTCCATTTGTGTTTTTTGGAAATACATGGGCACGAGCTACTGTTTTGTCTAAAGTCGGGTTTGATGAATGGCAGCAAAACCCATGAATTTTCACTTACGGTGCATTATGCGATTTCCAATAACAGGTCTGTATCTGCAGCATTTTGATCACCGAATTGAGAACCCTTTAAAACAAATGTTCGATATTTAACTACAGGTCCAGTTTGATATATCCCTTTTTAGAAGTAGGGCTACTGAGGTGCCGAAATGTTCCACAGTTGTTAGTGCAATAAAATTTTCATTTGCTTCTAGCTCAACAGCCGAGAAAGAAACTGGTGCCAATGCCCCTTTATTGTTTCAGATGGTGTAATCAGTATTAGAAGAAATTAGGACGACTGGCATCTTTGGAATATAGGACAGTATCCGTCGAGTTCATCGGCAATTCTGATTAGATAAGATAATGTCCCAGGCGAACGGAAAATAAATCCTATTTACCAATCCCTTTCTTGAAATAATGAATCGTTAAGGTGAGATAACTTTTGTAATGGCTTTTCTAGTATTTTAGTGGTTAATTTATCTGCCTCATCCTTTAACATATCACCTCTCTGCTGATGGTTAGCCAAACGATTTATTCATGAATTCTGGTCTAGTGAACGATCGCATTGGAACTGACAATAATTGTTTCGATCAAGGATCGTTTACATCTGGTATTGGACAAAATCACTTCGAATCAAAAATATGCTATTCTACGAGCTAATCTGAACAAATATTTGGCCAATGATTTGGATCATCTCAAATGGGCTCGGGGTGACCCGAGTTCAAACCCTGGATGCAGCGGTGACATGCTTTACTGGTGAGCACCTCTGAGTACACGGTTGACAAGATGTCCTTAGGTTTGTGATTGAAAAGTTTGGTCAAAAGAACGGTAAGCCAAGCAAAGTATTACTAGTCCCACACACAGCTCCTAAGTAATTGTGAGATATACGTATACACAGTCAGAGTTGTAAAATGAAGCTTTTACCGATTTGCTAATCTTTTTCGGTGACTTCACCTAAGAAACAGGGTTCCATGTGCTGAACACTGCCCAATGCACTATTCTGACGCAACTGTTTGGGATAGTATGAAGCATTCCATACACATTAAGAATGACTTCTGTTCATTATCACCTTTTTGTATGGATTGCAGCTAAGTTATTTTCGTACACTTAGGAGGTAAACTTCATTATTTGTAAGTCATGAACTACTGTTAGTGAGCATTGCACTAGGCTCTTGAACTATGCCATTTACCATTCAGAAAGGCCCATTGTACCGTCACAACGGCGCACTGCACTTTTTGCTGAACACGTGCAGCGGAGGTTTAAATATTGCCCAAAGGGATTAGGTATATTGCTGGCTGGGTTGAACACGACTGTCCCACAATTGATTAGAACCGATATATTTGTGAAATGTGGAACAAAGATCCTGAATAAAACTGCACACTTATTGCAGTATGATGAGTTATTGTTGATACGGTGGGAGCACAAACTACTCCAGGATATATCCGAGAAAGTGGGTCTTACATCAGACGGTAATAACCCTAACAGATAGGGGGATCAGGGGGATCGATTACGTTCATATGTTATTTGATAGCAGAGTACAGGGTCAGATTACCAAACATCGCACGATCAAAAAGAAATGGAACGGTTTTGCTATCTGCGGTAGAGCTAAGCTGGGATGATCTAATTTCACCGAAATCAGTCGCAACCTTTCAGTTGAAGTAAAGTTTCCTTCCATGCTATTTCCATGACTAGTCGTCATTTTAACCTGACAGACATTCTTGGTCTTACACAACTTATGTAAAAAGCCTGACACCAGAAGGTTAGTTTATTCACTTACCGGCATCTGGAGATGGCTAACAGAGTTCAGATCCGTGTTCCCTTAGTGCGATGAACTTGATTTGGTTCGGTAATGTTGTAGCAATAAGACAATGGACTCCGAGAAATGTGATTGAAAACTAGCAATACTTTTTCTACTAATAAGTCCCAGAAATGATTTTAAGGGGCATTGAGTGTGCTACATCAATTCAGTATGGGACAGTAAAAGTACAAAACTGAATGGGATCTACTTTTTATCTATTCTTCGTTGTCATGGTTTTGCGGGTTTTTACTGGTTCCAAACAGCTTACACATTTTGAATGCAAAAAGAAAAACAGAGGTTCGCTAAATGTCTTTTCTCCACATACAATCACAAGAGTCATTTCATTCCGTAACGTGCCCAATGCACCGGTATTCATGAAAACGAATTCGATAAAATCGTGTTTATGGTCTGATTTGAAGGTAACAAAATAAACATTCTAAAAATCTTCAACCACAAGGAAATTCATGTATTTCTCCAGGCCTCCAGAAGTGCTTGTTGATGCATACGGAACAAACAAAGCATTCCTTATTGCAGGAGCTGAACTTAATAACTTTTTTCCTTCATAGTGAGCACAACAAGAGAAACTCTCCAGTTTCCTCAGGTAAGCAATCATTGTCATATCGGTTGACAAATGTTTTGAAGCGGTTAGCGCGTTTATCACCATAATATTATTCGAATCGTGAGAAGTATGCATGGATGCATAGTCCCTTTTTAAAGTCGCGAGGTGATTCCTCGAACAAACCAGCTTAAATCAAAAGCGAAACTTAGTGTCGTGTCTCCTCGCTGCGAAGGTTCCCGTTGAGTAACCGACCGAATAACGTTTATAAAATCGCTTGGTGATCCTAAAATGTACTCTTTCTACATTCTCGCTCCTCACTATCCAAGTATAATTATCAATACGAACCTAATGTGGAGAACTCACCTATTCATATGATTGGACAGGAGAGTACCGGGTACGCATACCCGATGAGCGTTAACAACCGCAAAACCGGTTGTGAGTTTTCGGGAAAATACTGCCTTGTTATCCAGATACGAAGATATACCACTTACGTCGAAAATGTTTGTGCGCTACACATAAACGACAAGATCAGATCACTGTAAAATATCATGCCATATCATGAAGTTGTCTGAGCAGTCCGACTTCTGGACCACAATGGAAGATTGTCATATTTCATCCAGAATGAATGAAGTTATATTATCTGATGTTAATATAATGATTAAGAAATAGGTTTGACCAGAGGGATTCTCAGAATGTTAGGTTGTAATGCGTGCATAAACTCCCAACTCTCTTAAGCAATAAAGACAGATGTTTTAAGTAATATCAAGGGTTATCACAAATAATAGGCACAACATGAGAAAATTTAGGTAGGTTGTCTTATCCCAATTATTGAGTCCCCTTTATATCAGTGAGTTTGAACGCCTGTT